GGAGGGAAAGAGGGAAGAATCCTTACACCTACAAAACTGTATCATGGAAAATAGTAATAATAATAATAATAAAATAAAAAACAAATAATGAAAAAAGCAAAACAAAATTTAAAAATTACATTGTCATGGATCGAATCATGTACCCAAAACAAGACATTTGGAGCTCCTAAGCCCAGGTAAGCTCTTACCTTACCAAGAAATAGGGTCTTGTCAGATACAATCAAGTTAAGATGAAGTCATGCTAAATTAAGGAAGCCTTAAATTCAGTAACTGTTGTCTATAAGAAGGTTATTGGAAACACAGGAACTCACTAGATGGAGTGATGCATCTGCAAATCAAAGATAGCCAGAAACTACTAGAAGGTAGGAGAAAGACATGGATAAAACTGTCCTTCAGAACCTCCAGAAAGAACAAAAACTGTTAATGCCATGATCTTGAATTTCTATCCTCCAAAACTGTAAGAAGAATACATTTTCCGATTAGTCACCAGTCCGCAATTTTTTGTTATGGCAGCTCTAGGAAACTGCCACATATCCTTCACTATGGAAAACTGGTAATGATGATTGATTCCCTGACGTGTTCAGGATAACAAAATACAGCCTCACCACAACTTAACAAGCAACCATGAAGCATCACTTAAAAATTATATTCATGTCTGAAAATCAATAAATGGATCCTCCCAAAACAATATCTCAAAAGGCAACAGAATGGGCCTGGCGCAGTGTAGCCTAGTGGCTAAAGTCCTCAACCTGAACCACCAGGATCCCATATGGGTGCCAGTTCTAATCCCGGCAGCGGACCTGCTTCCCATCCAGCTCCCTGCTCGTGGCCTGGGAAAGCAGTCGAGGATGGCCCAAGGCCATGGGACCCTGCACCCTCGTGGGAGACCTGAAGGAGGTTTCTGGCTCCTGGCTTCGGATCAGTGCAGCTCCAGCCATTGCAGTCACCTGGGGAGTGAATCATCGGATGGAAGATCTTCCTCTCTGTCTCTCCTCCTCTATGTATATCTGACTTTCCAATAAAAATAAATAAATCTTTAAAAAAGGCAACAGAATGGAGAACCATCTATGAAATCCTTGATTTTGACAATATTTTGGTATATTTTGGCATCCTAAGTATGCAACTAAAACAATGATGCCTAACTCAGTGAAACAAAAGGAATTGTCTGAAGTGAGAAAAGTGTAGCAAGTCAAGATTACCCAGATTTACTGATAAAAATTCCTTATGTAACTTTAGTCTCATCCCTATTTTTTACTTACTCCATCATTTTTCTTTGTACTTGAACTTTGTACTCTTTGTACTACAAAACTTTTTTTGACTAACATTGTGAATAGCCCATGTGTATAATTTTTTTAATCAGTGGTTTACAGTTTCCTCTGGAATATCACTGCAATGAGAGCCCTCTGTTGTGCTAACAGTTGGTACCGTATTGCTCTGGCAAGCAGAGAAGCTGAGAAACTGTGACAATATTTATCATTCACATGTCCTTAGCCAACTTACAAAATCCTGTTCCAGTATCCACAATGAGACCACAATGAACCCCATTACTGTACACTCAGTTTCACCTAGTAACTGGAGGAATAGAACCTTCCCCCAATTGTAAATCCATTTCAATCAACTTTATTTAGGACACTGTTGAAAATTCTAAATTATTTTGCCCACGTAAAGTCATACATATACTAGATTTCTACCATCCCAATGATTTCCAGTGACTAGAAAAATCTTTTTCAAATATTTTTACATAACTGTTCCTGTTTCATTAGCTGAGGGAATTCAAAACAGCTTTCAACTTAATTTCATAAGTATATATTTCTATTTTTGAGTTTCTTTCCATTTTATTTTTAATTTTACGGCTCTATAGGCTCTAGGATTTCCCTTACCCCTTACTTAAATTCCCTCTCTGCAGCTGATTTCTCCCATATTACTACAATAGTATAGTCCTTCATAAGCAGTCATAAGCCCGTCATTCTGCTAATTAAGTGTGTCCTGACATTGCGGGGACAAACAACGGCAGAAAGTCCAGCATGCTATTGTCAAGATATATTCAACAATTTCATTGGGAGCCCGTCTTTGATTTGGAAGTAGAGATGCATACTGCATTGTATCCTCATATTTGGATAAGATAGTCTCTAATATGCAGTTACTATACATTCCCTTAAATGAGAGACCATAAAATAAAATCAATAGCCAAGGAAATGATCACAAATTGAAGAAGCAAGCAACAGAATGGGAGAAAATTGTTTCATACCACAAAACTGAAAGGAGACTAAATTCAGGATTTACAAAGAACTTCAGAAACCCAGGAACAGTAAAACAACCAACCAACCAACCAAAAATCCTGTGAAGAAATGGGCAAAGGAAATGGATTGATATTTTTCAAAAGAAGGAATGCAAATGGCTAATACACATATGAAAAGATGCTCAGTCTCCCCAGCTATCAGGGAGATACAAATGAAAACCACATTGAGGTTCCACCTAACTCCAGTGAGGTTGACCTACGTTCAGAACTCTATTAACAACAACTGCTGGTGTGGATGTGGGGAGAAAGGTACCCTCCTTCACTGGCTGATGGTAGTGTAGGCTAGTACAGTCACTATGGAAATCAGTATGGAGAGTGTTCAGAGAACGCCAAATAAACCTGCCATATGACCCAGCTATCCCACTCCTAGGAATATATCCAAAGGAAATGAAAACTGCGTGTGAGAAGGGGATCTGCAATTCTATATTTACAGCAGCACAATCTGCAATAGCAAAGACATCGATCTAGATGCCCGTCTAAAGAATAGTGGTTAAAAAAAATTGTGGCACGTCTGTCCACGTAATACTACTCAGTCATTAAAAAAAAAATGAAATTAATCTATTTGCAACTAGATGGTCCCAACCCAACTAGAGCTCATTATGCTCAGCGAAATAAGTCAATCCCAAAAGGACAAATACCCTATGTTCTCCCTGATATAAGCCAAACTTCATGCAAATTCTAACAATAACCCTTTCAATAGTATTTTTGCTATATTTTTATTTTCAAAATACAAATACTATTCTAATTACTTAAAGTACTTACTTTAGAATTAAAAAGTTTAATGTGGCTTTCCCTATTTCAAAAACTCAAATCTTTACAACAGAAACTCAGGGATCACACAAACATTATGGCCCTTTGGGAAAAATCGTAAGCACATGATTCTTGCAGAAAAGCACTAACATATTTAGCCTATACTCATGATGTTGAATAAAAGAGAATTCATAAAAATGTTTAAAGACTGCAATTTCTCAACATTGTCTTTTTTTTTCACACTTAATTAGAATACCAATTGATCAGTGCTAATCAGATTGAGCACAAATTGAGTGAAGGTCCAATTACATATTGTTTTCTTTCTTTCAATTAGGCTTTGTTCCTCTTGTTTTCCCCTACCTTCCCTTCCCAACAAATTAGACATCTAAGGATTAATGCGCAAAATAGGCACTCTTTGGGTTAGTATGGTCTAACTAGGAATGAGTTTTCCTAACTTGAAAAACTAGTATGGATGTTAAGCACAAAATAAAAAATAATTTTACCCTGTTGACTAGTTTTTGTAACAACTACAGTTTTACATAGGACTCAAAACATAGAATATTTTACAGTAGTTTTGACATTTTATTTAGGAGCTTTTTATATTACTATATAAAGTGTGTATATTTTACGGAGTAAAGCACAATATTTCAATTCAAACACACAGCACAAACTGATAACAACAGCAAAACCAGGGAAATAGGTTTTTCCATTTCCTTACCCTTCCTAGTGGGCACCAAAAGAGTGAAAGAGAAGTAGTAAGGTCTAGTGTTTCACAGCAGAGTGAGGTGACTATATTTCATAATAACGCATTATATACTATAAAATGAATTTTCCCAGAGGAGGTGGTACACTCCAGACATACGGGGAAACATAATGAAATGGACAAGCTAGTTCTTGGTTACCTGAACTGTTACATTTCAACAGAACTTAAGGTTTTATTTATTTATATATTTGCATAAATTAACAGAAATCTCTTGAAATAAAAAGCCAAGGTACAATATTTTCTAAACATCAACAGCTTAAGATGTATGACTGTATCTTCTGCACATTTGTTATATAGAAAACATCAGTGAAAATATTACCAATTTGGTGTTATGGACATATAAAATCACACTTGGAAGTTCCACAGATAAACAGCTTTCTAGGAAACTGAGGGGGAAAAGGAAACCAACTTCGACCATACAATTCTCATTCTCATTTTTTTTCTCACTGTAAATTTTTCCAGTGGTGAGAGCATCTTGTGATGTGTGAATCTCTCAGTTGAAAGTTTATCTACCAGAACAAATGAAGAACAGTCTCGGAAAATGACACAGGAGAGACTGACAGTGTTGACTTTATCGGGTAAATTACAAGATCAGCACTATGGCTGTTTCTAATAAGAGTATCTGAAGATACAACAGGAAAAGAAAATGTTACTGATTGATCAAAGAATTCAAAAGAGCTTTCTGTGTACTCGGTCTGCACATGAATGCAAACTCTGTGATACCAACAACTGGCACTAATCAAAAGAGCAGTTTCATAGGAGCAGTAAAAGAAAAGCAATGTTAACAACAACTAAAAATCTATCCCTGTACTTCTCATTTTTGTTATTAAAATATACTTTTTCAGGCATACTTTTTGAATAATACTCTCAGTGCCAGAAGAAAAGCAGTCTAGGACAAAAAAGATGGGCAGAATGTGACTTCTCAAACATACGTAACTTCGTATGTACATCTTTAATACCTCTTGGTCTAATGTCAAATCCTCATACCTAAAAGTGTGTCTAGCAAATAATAAAGTCAGGTATATTAGAAGACCTGAATTTGATGGTTTCATTTTGCAATATTAGTTTTATAACTAATACAAATATTTAATACCACACCACCATACTTCTCAATGTATGCAACAAACTAAACTTAAAAACCAAGTGAAAACAGCCAATGGACGTTTAAAACTTCATGTTAACACTCACGAAACATTGTCTTCTGACAGCTTGGTAGCATCAGAAGAAAGTACATTGTTGTCAGTAGCTATGAAAACCTTCTTTGGTGGATCTTCACGTGCCACTTCACCTAAGACAAAGGAGTAGACCAAAATAGGTAGGTCTTATTTAATGTTACTTCTATGTTTTTCATTACAAAGCAGTATTTATTCATTGCAATTAATTTATAAAACACAGAAAAACACAAAGAAACAATTCAAGTTACTATTATCCATCTATAATCACTTTTGAGTAATTTGAATATATACATGTGATTAATTTTTAAGCAGAACCATATTTGTACCATATAGAATGACATTTAATCTGATTTTTTATTTTACAGTTTTTTTTTAATATTAACTGAATTTACAACATGATTTTATATAGCTAGGTAGTAAAACTATTTAATGACTTTAATTGCATACTTTATTCTAAAGTTTTAGGTTGTTGCTATCTTTATTTTGCTAAATGGATATAATGAACTACGTAGATAAATTCTTTCCTAGTATGAACTGGACAAAATAAATGTATTTTTAATAATCAAAGAAGACATCTAATCTTAAAAACTATAGTGTTAAAATCTTTATCTTGAAGTAAATGCTAAAATCTGAAAATTGCATCACATTCATATAATAACGACACCTGGACTTAAGAAAAATGACATTCAGGCCCATAACTTCCAGAATGGAGTATATTTGAATGATAAAACCTTAAAGTCATCATTTAAAACTATCCCTAGAGATCGAGATCCCCCAGCCTTTCCTTAGCAGTATAGTCATGGCTCATAAGGCGCAAGAGAAGTCTGGCATCTCTCCCTTGTCAGACTGCATTTACAGCTGTACGGAAAAGCTGCTCATCTATCTTTTGTGGTTTAAATTTAAAACAGGACAAATCAAAGTGAATCCCTAACAAAAGAAAATTCAAGTTTTCTTTGCTAAAACCAACAGTACTGTAAAAACAATATTTATAGCTGCCCAATTCTACAGCTTTCAGAATATCCAGTTGAAACTTTATTGTTCCTATCCTGAATGAAAATCATGACCATTTACCATCATAAAATCTGCCTCCATATATCCAGAGGAAGGCAATAATATTTTTCTCACACTCTTCTCCATTCATAGAGTCCACATTTTTTTCAGCTTCCACTCCTCCTCAGTATCTTTTTCATTTTTATACTATGTGTTCTCATGTATCATTTGTATTCATGGGTTCCAAATAGGACATACATTGTTATTCCCCAAACTAATATTTATATTCCAACATATCTAAATAAGATTAGTTGCCTATTTATCTGTTACCACAACAGGCCAAAAATGGCCAGATTGCTTTTTACCAAATTTATGTTAGGATGTTCATGGGAAAGTTTGACTTCAAAATAGACTATATAGGTTGGAACTGTGGTGTAGTGGATTAAGCCACTGCAGGCGATGGTGGCATCCCATTTGGGTGTTCCTTGATTCCCAGCTGATCCACTTCTTTTTTTTTCTGTTTTTTTTTTTTTTCTTTTTTCTGATCCACTTCTAATCCAGCTCCCTGGTAATGCACCTGGGAAAGTAAACAGAGGCCAGCCCAACTGCTTGGTCCTGTGCATCCACATAGGAGCTCCAGATGAAGTTTTTGGCTCCTGGTTTTGGCCTGGCACAGCTCTGACTTTTGTGGCCATTTGCGGAGTAAGCCAACAGAGGAAAGATCTCTGTCCTCCTTCTCTCCGCTCCCCTTTCTCTCTCTCTCTCCCTTTTCTCCTCTCTCTCTCTCTCTCTCTCTCTCTCTCTCCCCGCCTTTCTCTTTCTGCAACTCTGCCTATCAAAAGTAAATCAATCAATCAATAAATATTCTAAAAATATTCAGAATACACAAAACTTGCTTTGGGGTTCTCTAAGGAACATCTTGAAGAAATAAAACAGTCATCCAACAGGTAAACCGAAACTGCAAAACAAGGGGCTTGCATGAACCAAGTCTATTTACGCCAAAGCTGATATTTAAAAACAATTTTTGAAATCATAAATTCTAAAAAAAAGTTCAGGTATTTTCAATACAATAAAAAAGTTTTCACATAAATGATTTAAAAGAAGAATCCTTGTAATTTGGTAATTTAATTTAATTTAATTTGGTAAATTATTATCTTCAGTTTAGGTTCACTTTTAACACTAAAGTGACTCCAACTTTCCAACAGCTCTTAAACTGCTGATATATTAGCTCAAATTTTAGAGCACAGGCTTGGTCATTGATGTAGCTTCATAAAGCAATGTACTTAGTTTGGAAAAACGTGCTTTTCAGAGTTTATCAAATCTTACTTCAGGATATAAAACAAATATGCTGAGTTTGGTATGTTGCTGGAAGGTTGTCATTAACTAATTTCAAACACATGGACCATTGAAACATATTTCCATTCTTTTCCCCATAATACCATGGTAATCATTCCTCTTTCCCATTTAATAGATTTTCCACAAACACATATTTACATTTAAACTCCATCCCTATTATTTCCTCTTCTTCACTGTAGTTAAGACATGTACTAAATACAAAACAGTGATATTTTAAAGGGAAGAAGAGCATAGTTGAGTGAGGTAGTATTGAGACATGAGAGTCAGGCCTGCGAGAATTAAAAAAAAATATATATGTTCTCACTTTTACTACTGAGTGAATAGGCTGTTTTCCACATTAAACTAAAAATAACCCCCATGAAGAAGCTGAACATCAAAGATCATACACTTTCACATATATTTTTAGTGCTATAAGTAGATCTAACTTGTGTCAACTTATTGATATATCAGTGTGTGCCTGCGGCAGTAGGGTCGAAGTTGACATTGAGCAAAACACTTGTTGACTCACTTCATTCATTTATTCCCCACCTTGTTTCAGAAAGTTTTTAAGTGTTGGTAAGTTTATTTATAAAAGGAAAATCATAATACTGTACTAAACTGGAATTAAGTTTCAAAATTCACATTTATGTAAGTATACTTCAAGAAGTTCATGGAAATGCGGAATTAAAATAAGATCATTTGGCTGTAAACAAAATTTGAGATCCATGACATTTTTCCATAATATATGCTTTTCATGAACTTTTTGAAGGCTCTTACAGAACACTTTGTAATTTTCAAAATATCTTTATAAATATTTCTGTTTGAGTAAAAGGAAAGGCCTCCAGTAACTTATCAAATGCATTCTAAATAAACAAATTATTTAAAAACAATTTTTGCACAGCACCTATTTTGATACTTTACAAAAATAACTTAACATTATATTTATTTCTTATGGTAGTTGAAATACCTTTTCTTTTTATTGGTCCAAGGATACTTGGTCTGATAATATTTGTGGGGTTGTGATTGCTTCTAAAATAAAAATCATCATGATCATTACCAGAAAAACGAATTGAACAAAATCAGTAATCATAGTTCCATTATAGCTGCCCTAAGGGCATAAAATTGAATACTGCTTAGTAAATAACACATATTTGGTTAATTTTCTCTAAATATGGGTAGAAACAGAATGTCTCACAAGCAAGTTGCTTTTTTAATTTTCAGGGATTTGAAACTTTGAACCCTACATTCTGGAAAGACCAAGAGTCCTGGTTGGGACTTGCCTTGAATCAAGGTGAGAATCACAGGTGGAGTTGTTTCAAGTTCTAGAAAAAACTCTGATGTAATCAATAAGCTTGGTCAGAGGAGATTATGATCATTACCTGCTTAGTTTTGTATATATTTTGTTACTTTGTACATTCTTGATTTACTTCGTTATATAAAATGAGAAACTGAAACAAATGAAATTTTAATTTTGCTAAAAATGAATCACTTATTTGGTTTGCACAAAACCTAGACCTGTAACTTCTCTAAGCTCCTAAGATTCTTATTTTGTACAAATTTCATATAACAAACTTACATCACAAATCGGCGTGTAAGGCTTGGAGTAGTACCTGTAGGCGAACTGGTACAGCCAACCTGGGTATGTAATGATGGAGAAAAAGACTGCTGAAATCAAACTGGAATAGAGGCTTTAAAACCACCCCTTCCTCAGAAAGCCAATCAGAAGTTTCCGATAGCTGACAAGATGATGGGAAGGGATACTGAGTAGAACAGATCATGGGGAAATTATAATATGAGAACTAGTCTCTACCTTGAATATGTGTGCAGTATAGAACTGTGCACAGCTACCAAAATTCATCTAAATAAGACTTAAAAGTTGGTTTTATTAAATATAAATAAACTGATAGAATCAGACACACTACAGCAAAATCTATTCTCCAAAACCTTATGTTTTGTAAATTTTAAGGTACTTTTATCTTACCTTCCCAATTCCACTTCTGGGAGAAACCTCTGGGAGTACCGAAATAAGATCAGTGCACGTTAGGGAAGATGGTTTCTCTACATCGTTGTCATTCTGTATAAGCAGAAACCAATGTACTATTGTAGTATCAATTGTTATTAAACGAACACTTAATAAAATAGCCATTGAAAAAGTAAAGGAGTCTGTCCCACTATGTTACTGCCCTGGGGAAATCCAAGATTCACTTTGACAATTTAGGGAAGACTTTGCCTTTGGTAGGAACAGAACCACATGACACTTGAGGGGCTCCTCTAGCACCCCCAGAATGAGCTGGAATGTGAACACTCAATTCTGAGTGAGACATATCATACAGACAAAGGTTATTTCAAAAGTTCATGAAAATAATTAAATTAAAAATAAATTTATTTGGGTCCAAAACATTGAAATTCATGTATATGAAGGATCCTCAAAAAGTTCATAAAATATGAATTATGCAAAACTGCATGCGTTTCAAGTGTTTTGCATGAAAAAATCTTATTTTTAGTTCCATTTTCCATGAACCTTTTGAAATATACACATATACATAAACTCTAAATTTAAGTTTTTCTTTTGAGATTTGCCCTGTGGTAACTACATCTATTCCAGGAAACAACTTAAAAGACAATGTGGAGGCCAGCACAATGGCTCAATCCTCTCCTTGCACAATCTCAGGTTCTCATATGGGCACTGGTTCTAATCCCAGTGGCCCCACTTCCCATCCAGCTCCCTGCTTGTGGCCTAGGATATCAGTAAATATCAGAAGTTGGTATATCAGAAGCTTTCCTACTCAAATTTCTGCTCAAAACTTATTCTGAAATGGCCAAAGAGCAATTAAGCATCATTAAACTATCACAGTTAAGAAAACATAATGTGTACGGAGATGCTTAAAATGTTAATAAAGGACAAAACTACATTTTAAATATGTTTAAAGTTTGTTAAAATGTTGCTGTAAATGTATGTGTTAGACATAAAACAGCACTATTTTTCCAGTAAATCCATTGTCTTTAGTTTAAAATTCAACATAGAGTTCTGTCGAGAGGACTAAATGTTTTACTGTCATACAAGCATATTAACCAGCACAAATATTATTTTAGTTCCAGTAGAACAGAGAGGAATCTACTCCACAACAATCACAGTTTTCTATCAAACAAACTGTTTATTTTTAATCCAACTTTCATATGATGACAGTTATTTTGTTGATAAATCTGAAGAGTAATCAAAAATTATTTATGCAGCAGGTACAATCTAGGTATTACATGAGAGCCTATATTTCTAGAAATTAAAGTGGAATAGCAACAGCACACATTCTATGTCAGTAAGAATTTTAAAACATTTTTACAAAATTGAAATGTTAATACCATACCAAGTTCAAACACCGTTCCCACGATTGACTGATCTGTATTGCTGTTTGTACTTCCCTACAAAAGAAAACAAATCAGTATTATGGCCTGGTTATGTGCAAGAGAAGATATAACTCAATATGAAATTATCAGAATAGTAATTCAAAGCATGGCACTTACCATTCAGTCATTGCTTCCCTCGCTGCCAAATTCATGCCCTCCTCCTGAAAAGTGGGAAAAAATGAGAACAAATTGCATAGACCCAGCTTTTTATGCCATTACAATGTGTCATTTGGGTTGAAAGTTTCAAAATTTCATTTGGATGCATGTTTACCACTTCTCATTGGGCCTCAGAAGAGTTAGGGTGTCAGCAAATCTCTGAACAAGAAATCTGCTTCTTTATTCTTCATCATTGCCATTGCACAAATTACTACATCAAAGTATCTTACTAATTGTTAAAGTACAATAGATATGCAGGAATTGATCAGAGGAAAGCTTTCTTCATTCAAAAGAGAAAGCATGAAAATTCAAAATTAGATATTTCCCTTGCAATTAATAGTAAGATAGTAACAAATGATAACACAATAGTCCAAAATAAACTAAATGTCTTGGTATGAATATATTTAGATAAATAAGGCAAACATTATTTAAAACTAGTAATTAACATAAAATTGAATTATATATTAAGTGGAGAAAATGGATACTATTTATGTAAAATTGTAAAAGATGTAAAAGAACTACTCAGAAGGATGTTCACCAAAAACTGCTAACAGTGGTTATCAAAATCTATAGCGAGATTTGGAGTAACTTGTTCACTCTTGCTTTGTGCTCTATTATTTGACTTCTGAATACTTACAAGTATAATTTTCGCAGTTAGTTTAAAATAACCCAAATATATAAAAACATCCTGTGTTTATAGACTGAAACACTTAAAATGAACAAAACGACAATTCTACCAGAAGTGAACTATAGATGCAATGTAAGTATTATCAAAATCCCAATGCATTTTATGCAAAGATAGAAAAACCTATACTAAAATCTATATGGAATATCAAAGGATTCTAAATAGTCAAAGCAGTGTTTTTAAACTATTGTTTTTAAAAGATTTATTTTTATTTGAAAGGCAAATTTACAGAGAAGGAGAGATAGAGAAAATTTTTCTAAACGCTGGTTCACTCCTCAAATGGCTGCAATGGCTATAGCTGATATGATAAGAAGCCTGGAGTTAGGAGCTTCTTCTAGTTCTCCCATGTGGGTATAGGGCTCCAAGGCTTTGTGCCATGTTCCACTGCTTTCCCAGGCCACAAACAAGGAGCCGGAGTGGAAGTGGAGTAGCTGGGACACAACCAGTACCCATTAGGGATGCTGACACTTGCAGGAGGATTAGCCAATTGAGCTACTGGACCAGCCCTGCCAAAGCAATCTTGTAAATGAAGAGCAAAACTGGAAGACCCACACTTTACCTCAAAACTTTTGCAAAGCTTCAGTAATCAAGGAAACATTTGCTGTACAACACATGCAACCTATTGTCAACTTTGTAGTCTTAAAGTGCTTAGCTATCAAGCTAGATTCCTTACAGTAGACTAAATCTTTTGTCACTTAAGGGTTTTGATACATACCTTTGTGTTTAAAAGAAAATATTTGTTAAAATGATCTGAGTTTTACCTTGTAGGACCCACTTTTAAAATTTTACACTGTAGCTGTGCATCCTGATTCCCTCTGGAAATAAGTTTAGCGGAAACAACTTGGGGGAAAGAACTCTCCACAAGGCTTGTTTCCCAAAGAAAGCTATTGTTTAGGGAACAAAATTATAAACTTTCCTCAGTTTGTTGTAAAGCAGTTCCAATAATAACTCAGCAAGGCTTGTGAATGCAATTGTGGCATCCAAGTTATTTCACTTTAAAAGACTGTAACAAATACAGTTAAGTTGTAAAGAAGATAAAAAAAGTATTTACTGCCGTAAGAACAAACAGACTGGAACAGACAAACAGAACAATAGAAAAGTACAGAGAATCCAGAAGCAAATCCTCACATGCATGCTCAAATGATTTTCGAAAACAATGGAAAGGTCATTCAGTTGGAAAAGGACAGTCTTTTTAACAAGCCATGATGTTGGGGAAAACTATTTCCAAATTCAAAGAAATGAATATGACCTCTTTCTTTACATCATGTGTAAAAATTAACTCAGAATGGACCAAAGATTTCAAAATGAAATGCTGATACCATAAATGCTTTAAGAAGCCACAGTCTGAGTTTTCATGACACTGGGTTTGTCATTGACCTCTTGAATTTGGCAGCAAACGCACAGTAAACAAGAGAAAATCAGACTGATTTTCATTATTTTTTTTAAAGTATACATCAAAAGACAATGTTAACAGAGTCAAAAGACAACCAGAGAATTGGAGAAGATATTTTAGTCATTTTTCTGATAAAGTATTATTATGTAATAAATCCTAGAACTCAACAACAGCAAGGAATAATCCAGTTAAAATAGGGGCAAAGGTTTTTCTTAATTTTACTTCTTAAATTTTTAATTAACTTGTAATACTTGTACACATGTTTGGGGCATATGAAATATTTCAATAATCTAATCAAAAAGGAAATCACTACCTCCAGCTCCCCATCTTCTCTCCATGCTCAGAGCTGATGAACTACTCTTGTGCAACTCTTTCTATAGCACACAATACATTGCCGTGACCTTTAGTCGCCTCACAAGGATATTACAGACTAGAAGCTGTTAATTCCCATTAATTGTGCTTTATTACCCTTTATTCAACCTTGTTCAGCCCCTCCCCTGTCCTTTCCTACTTGCTAGTAATCTGTATTCTAAGTTCAAATCAATTTTCTTTCACCTCCACATATGAAAGCCAGTATGTGGTATTTGTCTTTCTGTATCTGACTAGTAGCATATAGGTTATTTTTGCTTTAACAGGATTGTAACAAATGCAGATAAGCTGAAAAGAAAACAAAAACCTTGTTTACTGGCATAAGGATGGGCATGAAGACCAACAGAACAGAACAGAGAACCCAGGAATAAATCTTCACACATTTGGGCAAATGATTTTCTTCTTTGTTTTTTTTGTTTTTTTTTTTTTTTGAAAATTTTTTTACTATTATATTTTTGACAATCTTTACATAGTTAATTAGGGTAAAAAGGTTCAAAGGCTACAGGAAAGTGGGTAAAGACCACTATTTCCATATTGTTTCCTTCATGTTTAAAGGGGGATATTAAGGGAGAAGGCCCACCCAATTTCCCACCCTCCCCAGGTCCCAGATGAAGGGCATACTCCGAGGTTCTTGCTCAAGTGGTTTTGATGGTTCACCAGTTCCCGAGACTAATGTGCCTGGGAAAGCAGTAGAAGATGGTGTAAGCGCCCAGGCCCATGACACTCCTGTGGAGGATCCAGAAGCCGCCCTTGGCTACTGGCTGTGGCCTGGTGCAGCCTGGCCATTTGGGAGTAAACTAGCAGATAGAAGATTTCTCTCTCTCTTTGCCTTTCAAAAAAAAAAAAACCCAAATAAATCTTCTCCCCAGATTTATTAGTGTTTACTTATTTGAAAGGCAGCAAGGCAGACTGTCCATGTAGAAGTTCACTCCTCAAATGTCCATAACAAGGGCAGAGCCAGGCCAGGGCCAGAGTCAAGAACTCTACATGAGTCCCCAGCTGAGGGATCCCAGTATGTGAGCCATCAGCTGGTACCTCCCAGCACCAGCATTAGCAGGCCGCTGCAATCAGACAAGAAGGCATGACTTGACCCCTTGTAGCTAAGCACCCCATATTGGATGTGCGGACCCCAAGAAGCATCTTACTGGCTACCAAATGCCAACACAAGATAGACATTTTTCTATAAAGATATACAAAAGAAATTGGCTATTCTAGGCACCTTATGTAAGTGAAATCATAATATTTGTCCTTCTGTCTGGTTTATTTCTCTTAGTACAAGGTTTTCCTTAAATAATAATTTGAAAGGCAGAGTTACAGAGAGAAGGAGACACACACACACACACACACACACACACACACACACACGTCTTCCATCTGCTGTATCACTTTCCACATGGCCACAATGGCTGGAGCTGAGCCAATCTAAAGCCAGTAGCCAGGAATTTCCTCCAGGTCTTCCACGTGAGTTCAGGGGCTCAAGGACATATTAAGTCATCCTGTGCTGCTTTCCTATGCCATAAGCAGGGAGCTGGATTGGAACTGGAGTAGTTAGGACACAAATCAGCACCCATATGGGGTGTCGACAGTACTATAGGTAGAGGTTTAGCCTACTATGCTCCTACCCTAGCATTCTTAAAACCATATCTCACACAAAATAAAATATCTGCTAGGATCATGTGGAACAAATACAATGTGGGGACCATGAAATAAGCAGAGGAGGTATCACTAAAGAGACCTAGAATCATACTTGGGGGCTAAACTTTACATAAACTACACAACATGAACGCTCTCTAAAATCAGCATGAAGAAAGTCTAAGGGATGCACAAGATAGTCTTTTCTTTAAGAAGCAAAAGAATGGAGCAGACATTTTATGTATGAAATCCACAGACAAATCAATGTCTTTATTAGATTTACTTATCTAATACAGTTTTATCATAGGATTATTGCAATTAAATACAGACTGACACAGGGTGCGCACTTTCGGCACACAGGTTCTCACGAGCAAAGGGCATTTGGGGCGCGGGGGGGGCGGCTTTATTTAATTGCAACTAATTGAAGTTTACCTGTACAAAATCAGGCACATATAAGGATGTAAGAATATTATCTAGTTTTTAACTAATTTCTACAAAATGAACAACTATCTTGACAAGATCCCTAAAAAGAAGTTTGGACAGAAGATAACACTAATGATACAAATTGAAGCAAATGTCAGGAAAGCAGCAAAGAGTTTACTACTCCAAGCATAGTTCACCATATGCCACCTTACTGTGAGAACATGATGCTGAACTACTCTATCAAGAAACTACCTAAAATAACTTTAATCCCTCAAGACTATTGGGCATAGGAATTCACATCCACTCTCAGTTGTGCTCTATAGCTAATAAAATTTTAAATTTTCTCAGATAGCATTCTGCATCTTATTCTTTTTATATGTATATTTTTCACATGTTCCAGGCTTCACGTGAAATACTAGCACAGTAGTATATTTCCAAAATGTATAAGTAAATAAACTGGAGGCATATGTTCAAATATTTTTATTGTGTGATTAAAGAGTTTAAAGATTCTTGCCTATAGTATAAGCGATAAATGTTTTGGGAAGAGTGACATGAGTTGTGTGAAACAATTAAAGTTGAACCTCAGCCTTCAAACATGCTAAAAATCTGCACAAGCCAAGGGAAGGAAGCAGAAGGAGCCATCTGAACAAACATTTAGAGATGGGAAAGAATATGGCCGATTTGGAGATCATAAGAACTAACTTGGTGAAACAGTTCATGCTAAAAGTAATGAGACAAAATTATAGAGGTAAGACAAAGCCAGATTTATAGGTTTAAATAACTGAAGCTTGAACTTAAAGCATTTAAACATGATTCTCAGGGCCATAAGTTTTGGGATCTAAAAGAACTGAGTCAGATCTTAGCTCTGTAGTTTACTACCTGTGCAACCTTGGCCATGTGGCATAACCTGAAATTTACTTTCTTTATCCATATGGAAAGGACTATAACAACAAAGAAGTGGTATACAGTTCTTATCACAGAAACTGGTATATAATAAATACTCAACACATACTAGCCATTATTAACCTTACAGTTCAATAAATAACAGGGGAGGGGGTTGTGCTGTGGCCTACCAGGCTAAGCTTCCCATAAGGGTATCAGTTCAAGTCCTGGCTGCTCCACTTCCAATCCAGTTCCCTGCTAATGGCCTGCGAGAGCAGGGAAGGAGGGCCCTAGTCCTTGAGACCCTGCACCCACATGGTCTATATCTGGAGGAATCTCCTGGGTCCTGGCTTTGGACTGGCCCAACTTTGGGCATTGCAGCCATCTGGGGCATGAACCAGTGTATGGAAGATCTTTCCCTCTGTCTCAACTTCTCTGTCTTGTGACTTTGCCTTTCAAATAATAACAAAAAAAAAATCTTTCAAAAATAGATCATGGAAAGCCATTGTAACTTCCTGCCTGTTTATGAGAGGAAAAGGTGAAGATGTTTTGTTTGTTTTGTTTTGTTTGAAAAATTTATTTTATTTTTATTGGAAAGGCGGATATACAGAGAGGAGAGACAGAGAGGAAGATCTTCGAGTGCAACGGTCGATGCTATGCCAATCCGAAGCCAGGAGCCTCTTCCGGGTCTCCCACGCAGGTGCAGGGTCACAAACCTTTGGGCCGTCTTGACTGCCTTCCCAGGCCACAGGCAGGGAGCTGGAAGGGAAGCGGGACTGCCGGGATTAGAACCAGCGCCCATATGGGATCCCGGGCGTGCAAGGCGAGGACCTTAACCACTTGCGCCATCGCGCCGGGCCCGAAAAGGTGAAAATGTTTTAGAAAAGTTATCTTGGTGTTGATTGGGGGAAGATGAATTTCACTGAAATAGGAAATCTATTAAGATATTACTTTAGTAATCTAGAACAAAAGAAGGAAATGATAGCGGGAACAGTGAGGATATTTTCAAAGAAGAATTAATAGGATTTTAAAACTAATTTGGGTACAGTAAAAAATAAGGAAAAACTCAAAATGAACAGAGCTTTGAATGTTAACTATGTGACTGTGATAAATTTGGTACAATTAGAGAAAATAAGGGAAGTTGTGGAAGCTAATTTAAAACTGTCAGTATTTTTAAACAAGAGTAAGTCTTCTCAGTAAAATACAGTGGTTACTATATCTCTTCTACTTAATATTTATGTAGATGTTTTCCTCTACAGTGAAAGTGTATGTGTTTTGTAATTCACTCGATCAACAAGAGAGTTTTCCTAAAACTAGAAAAGAATTTTGCTTCATATTCTTCACAGTGGTATCTGGAACATTACTTAATATCAGTTATTGAGAGTTCTTAGTCAAAGGAAGTGGATTCTTTCTCAGCTTTATCTTGCTTATTTTAAAAATGGATGTTCGATGGTGTATCATGTTGTTAAAACAAGAATTAAAGTTACCAATACAGTTTGCAGAGGCAAAGAACATTAAACCGAGCAAAGTTGTAACTTTCCTGAAATAATAAGCATTTATTTTTTAAATACACAGGTAAAGATGAAATGAGTAAAATTACCAACTTCTGTTTTCTGTAGGAGACTATCTTTGAAATATTTTTGTTGTTAAGTGCTTATTTGGTGCTCAGTAAATGCTTATTGAAAGCATGAAACAATTTGTAAACTAACATCAATCTGTAAACTTCCTTTAGAGCAAGTTAGGCTATTTTCTTAAACAGATATACTTCATAAAAGAGACTAGGTACTTATTGTGTTACAAGGAAAACTCCAAAAATCATAGAAGTCTAATATCAGTGTTCTGCTAAATTAGAACAGGGTGATAAGGTTTGTAGGAGACTTACTATGAAAGTTGGCCAGCAGGGAAAAAAGTTCACAGACACAGATTCTATCTAAATTGTGCTTATCATACTCATGGCCTAGACTATAACTGCTATAATCCATTTGCAAATAGTTTCACCTCAGGAAGTTCTTCACATTTGTTTTCAGTCCCAATTTAACTTTCATGGTCCAAGTAAGATAAAACGTAAAGGTAGTACATGTTACCAAAGTTTGCATTTGTGAAGATATGAGTTTAAGAGATGCTATAAATGCAGAGATAGTTCATAAGTTTTTCTTGACTTAAGACATTGTATGTTCTTACTGGGTAACAATGAGTTTACATCTTATTTAACAAGTCAAAAATATGTGTCAAATTATATAACAAAATAGTATGAACACTATTATGGGTTGAGATGAATTCCCCCAAGTTTATATAGTGAAGTCCAACCTCCCAGGCCTGAGATTTTGACTTTATTTGAAGATGGATCTTTGCAGAGATAATGAAGATGAGGTCATTAGGGTTGGCCCTGATCCAACAGGGGTGATATCGTATAAAAAAGGGAAATCTGTCTATTAGCCATTTGAATTTATTCTTTTGAAAAATGTCTGTTCATTTTTCTCCGCCTTTCTTCACAGCGTTTTTTGCTTTGCAGCTGTTGAGTTTCGGAAGCTCTTTGTAAATCCTGGATATTAGCCCCCTATCAGTGTACAGTGTGCAAAGACTTTCTCCCATTCTGTTGGTTGCCTCTTCACTTTGTTGTTTGTTTGCTGTACAGAAGCTTTTGAGTTTGATGCAGTCCCATTGGTTTGTTTTGGCTTTGGCTGCCTGTGCTTTGGGTGACTTTTCTAAGAAGTCTTTCCCCGTTCCTGCATCTTGGAGAGTGTTTCCTATGTCCTCCCTTAATAGTTCCTCTGATATAAGGCAACCTTCACACACAATATAATAGCAGTAGCATTTTTAATACTTGTTTCGCTAAATCGCATTTTTAAAGGTTTTATTTTTATCATTATTGAAAAGTCAGATATACAGAGAGGGCAGAAAAATCTTGAAATCCAAGCGTAGATAACAAAATATGCATTTCCATGAACTTTTTGAAGACCCATTGAATAAACACACAAACAGTAAAAGAAAACAGTAAAAGAAAATTTTGTCTACAAAAGAGCAAAAGAATATTTTCACATACTTTTTGCTGGTGGATGACCTAATTTAGAGTTATATCTTGGTTCTGATATTCATTATCTTAAGATCACTGGGTAAAAAATACTAAATTCCTCTTATCTTTAGTGTGTGACAATATAAGGTAATTGTGAAATGAAACAAGATGACTGATATAAAATATCTATTGTATTATTATTAGTGGTAAGTGAATAATAAGTGCTTCATAACAGTTAATCTCTGCCTTGAAACAACAGTTGTTATGGAGTGCAGCCAGTGATTGCTCCTTCACCTCTCCTTGTTTACTCTTCCCCCCACGTCCTTGTGCTGTTTCTAGTATGCTCTATTATCACCAAGCTTAGTTAATAAAGACTCCTTAATAAACCTTAGACATGTCTGGTGCGATCTCGCTCGCACCCCGTAACACAGTCTGCTTAGAGTTGAGTCTGAAAAATCCCACCAATTGTGATAAAGAGGTGATTTGATCTTTTCAGTTCTATGGCTAATGCTTGAATAATTAGGTTTTAATTCTGTATTAGAATTATGTTTTTAAGCATATGTGCGTGCACATATGAATTCATGCATGCACAAAACATGAACCAGTGAAGTGCAATGTATCCCTGAATCCAAATCACTAAGGGGCAAACCAAAAGATAAGGGCCAATTTCTCTGCCAAGAAAGTGTTCAGTGGGTTTAAGTGAAAAACAGTGCTACAATTATTACAAACCTATTTTTATATAACATTCTTCATTGAGGTCCCTGGAAAAAAACCTAGATTCAAGGCATAACAGTATGCAATATTTCTGGAAACTATCAATTTATTACAATATTTAATATCCCAAATAATAAAGGATTTTGGAGTTTTTGTTGTAAAAAAATCATTCTGCCCCACGTGATAGCCTAGTGGCTGAAGTCCTCAACTTACAAGCACACTGGGATCCCATATGGGCACCAGTTCTAATACCGGCAGCCCTGCTTCCCATCCAGCTCCCTGCTTATGGCCTGGGAAAACAGTTGAGGACGGCCCAAAGCCTTGGGACCCTACACCCATGTGGGAGACCTGGAAGAGGCTCCTGGCTCCTGGCTTCTGATAGGCTCAGTTCTGGCCGTTGCGCTCACTTGGGGAGTGAATCATCGGATGGAACATCTTCCTCTCTGTCTCTCCTCCTCCTCTCTGTATATCTGACTTTCCAATAAAAATAAATAAATCTTTTACAAAATCATTCCTGAAATTAAAATTCAATTATATGACTTCACTTAGTTATTGAAACATATGTATTTCTTAAAAGAAAATTAAAATTCACTTTTTTAAATGAACAGCTTTCTATTTTCAAAGACTTTTACCTGTTTTATCTGATCGATGCGGTTGTTTGAAGTACGAATGGAAGATGGTGTGAACAACTGAAATTTAAAATGTAAAAGTCAGCATGCTTTAATTTTTAACTTTTTTTTTTACAGAATACTTTCTATTTCAAAGGCAAATTTATAGAAGGAAGGAAAGACAGAGAGAAACAGAGATCTTCCATTCTCTGGTTCCATCCCAAAGAGCCACAATGACCAGAGCTGAACCAATCCAACCCGAGGAGATAGGAGCTTTCTCCAGGTCTCCCATATGGGTGCAGGGGCCCAAGGACTTGTCCCATCCTTCACTGCTTTCCCAGGCCCACAAGCAGGGAGCTGGATCAGAAGTGAAGCAGCCAGGACTTGAAACAGCACCCATATGGGATGCCCACTCTGCAGCTGGAGAATTAGTCTGATAATATTTTAAGTTTAAACTTGTCTAGTTATTTCTAAACATTAGTCAATGGTGGACTCCTAAAGTAATGTGTGTTTAATGCATTCCAGTGGTGGTAGCATTTAAATTCAAAAGTTAAAAAACCAAACTGGAATTTGATTTTTTTAAGCATATATGCACGCACATATGAATACATACATGCACAAAACATGAACCGGTGAAGTGCAATCGCTTCACTAGCTGGTGCGATGACCTAGTAGCTAAAGTCTTAGCCTTGCATGCACCAGGATCCCATATGGGCACTGGATTGCATCCTGGCAGCTCTACTTCCCATCCAGCTTCCTGCTTGTGGCCTGGGAAAGCAGTCCAGGATGGCCCAAAGCTTTGAGACCCTGCACCTGCATGAAAGACCTGGAAGAAGCTCCTGGCTCCTAGCTTTGAATTGGCTCAACTCTGGCCATTGCAGTCACTTGGGGAGTGAACCAGTGGATGGAAGGTCTTCCTCTCTGTCTCCACTCCTGTCTGTATATCTGACTTTGCAATAAAAAATTTTAAAAATCTTTTAAAAAATTTCAAAATGGATCTTGATTAAATATACTGATTAAAAGCCCATGTATTTCAAAAAGGAGCAAAATACAGAAAGGTAGGGCAGAATATTAATAGAAGATTTTGTTTGTGTGTATCCCATCATTAAAACATAGTGAGAGATAATATCCAGGAAAAAAAGCTGAAACAAGCATTAAATTGGCAGCTAACTCCCCAGCAATTTAGCTGGGGAAACCAAAATTTCATAATATACAATGACTTGAGGCAATAAAGTTCAAGTAGTTTGGAACATTCTACTCTTGGTTACTAAGACACTCACTGTCTAGCACCTTTTTCTGTTTCAGAACTACCTTCTCCTTTTTAATCTTCTCAAAGCTTGAGAGGACTCACACAAGAGGTAAATGAAAAGAGGAGGGATTTATAGCTAATTGTGAAAAAAAAGCATTTAGTTTCTGAATTCACTTGTACATTCCATCTGTACCCTGATTACTTCTCAGAATTGCAGATATTTTACTATAATCTTACTTTCACATCAGGTCTTAAAGGCGCATATAGTTGTAATCAAAGATATTCAATATGCACTTACTATGTGCTATAACACCTTGTTGGGGTCTAAAATTCCAGAGACAAATGAGACATTTTTCTATCTGAGAGCAATTCGTGATGTATTTAAGGAAAACCAGGCTATCAGTAAGTGCCAGAATAGAATGTTAATTTGTGGGAATTGAAAGAAGAGAGGCCTGTATATAAGGGCTTGGAAAAAGCTCCACATAGGAGGTATGAACTCATATGAAGGAGACGCAGGAAGACTTTCCAAGCATAAGAACAGATGCTCAGGCAGGGAGACAAGTTTCAGGAAGAGAGATGTTCAAGATGATTACAACTTGGTACATGAGGAGTGGCAGGAAACAAACATGAGGAAATCTGGCAGAAACCAGATTGTCTCTGGGCTTCAGCCTATGAGCCCAACGGGAAACTCAAAGCATAGGTTCCTCGTGTACGTTCCTAGGAGTATTTAACCCCAAAGGTGTTTTAAACAAGAACACACCTGGTGAAAAAAAGGAACGTTATATGTATTCAGCCTAACACAGAATTAATTGGGAGCAGAAGGGAAAGGGACTAGAAGCAGGCTGCAGACCAATCAAAGGTTCTGAAGATCTGAATGAAAAAGGCAGAGTTGAAGAGAACGAGGCAGGTTAGAGAAGTGACCAGAAAGAGGAAAAGATCAATCTGAGGTTCCTAATTAAGGCCAATAGGTGATGATGGTCAAAAGGGAGCAAGCCGGTGAGTGAGATGAGTGCTCAAAAAATATGTTGGGTAAATAAATGGCTCTATGTTGCAGATAATCTCAATTTCGATTGGATTCTAAATGCGTAACATGGATTTTGAAGGATCTTATTACTTCACTAATTATCAAGAGCAGTTAAAAATTTTTGAGAAAATTAGGACTGAAAGACCAACTTCGTTACAGAAGACTTTTGAAATCCAGGCATCAAGAGGTTTTGATAGTCCCTGAAAATGTGTATTATCGGAAAAACTATGCATGGACTTCAAAAAATTTTGCCCTCAAGTAAATGACCTTTTAATTCCACTTTCCAGGAAATTTTTCAGGTATCATTGTATTTTACTTAAAGTGCGAAAATCAGTTTGCTTTTTCCAACCATTACTCAGAAGATAGAAGAAACAAGAAGATATAAGGTAAGATAATAAAAATGACAGTAAAAACTTGTAGGTGGATAATTGAAAATCCATTACAAAATGATGCTTGCCACTGTTCCTGGAGGAGTGTGGCGCTGGCTTCCAGCCCAGTATGTCACCCTGACTTCAGGCTGAGATCAGAAGGGACAGCAGCATTCTGGCGTACCTCTCAGGCAACAGGATTGCTGCTGCACCAGTGACAGGCACCAGCCAATATTCCCCACCAAATAAGGGCTGAAGTGACCCCTGCTTCAGCTTCCATGTCGGGGGGTGGGGTGGTTTAAAACTCCCTTGCACAACTCCGCCTGGCTTTTTCTTTTCTTCTGTAGCTCCCTGCTTCACGTCTGTCTTTCTGTTACACGGGGAAGGGAACCCCGTGACCAAAGCTCCCTGCAATAAAGGCCATCTACATTCTTTTCTATACACGGCTCTGTGTTCCTTCCCTGATGGTTGGCAAATGTAACGCAAATAAATTCTATTTAACAACAACAATCACTTCACTGTAATAATTCATTATGGCATAATTCATTATGCCTTTCACATTTCAGTATTTTTGAGTCCTTATGCTTAAGAATCTGCTTTTCTCTTCACAGAGTAAAAACTGACTATATAGAAACACTTATAAGTCATAGCTTCAGAGACCTTAAGATCTACTGCAAAAACCAATAATGTAAATAAATATTATATAAGAGACAAGGTAATGAATGTTAAATGGAGGCAAAATGAGGTGGGAATAAAGAGCAAAGAGGAAGCGGATGTGCAGAGAGCTAGGAGGTGAGAGACACAGGTAAGAAAGGTATGACAAACGTGGCATCGAGTGGAGCCTTGTAGACAAGGAGTTTGACAGCATGTGACACAAAAGCGAAAGTTCTAGGCTTCTTTTAAGCAATGTTATTATATTTTTATTAACTGTGTGTGAATGAAACACCAGGAGTCCATGAAGAGAGACAGGGCTCTAAAGCTAAAAGAGTGAAGATGCTGGCAAACTTTAAATGCCATGGCAAACTTTAAATACCATGTTCCAAAAATTCTAATGGTGGAAAAACTATCTACTGTGGTGTTGAAAAAACAATTTATACTTAGCAGCCTCATCTATTTAATTTAGAGTAGACATGCTCAGATAATCATCAGCCCTGAGCCTCATTCAGTTCCTTTCTAGAGAGGGGGTATAAAAAAGGAGACTGTCATGGCTGCCATTGTGGCACAGCAGGTAGTCACTGCCAGCAACACCAGTATGTCATATGGGGATCAGTTTGTGCCCCAGCTACTCCTCTTCTATACTTGATCTTAACCAAAAGACCCAGAAGCGATGATGCTACTCCACTTCTGATCTGGCTCCCCATTAATGGCCTAGGAAAACCAGCAGAAAATGATCTAGTGTTTGGGCTCTTGCCACCCACAAGTGAGAACTGGCTGAAACTCCTGGGTCCTGGGTCCTGGCTATACAGTGGCTCAGCCCTGACTGTTGTGTTCATCAGCAGATGGAAGAATCTCTCTCTCTCTCTCTTTCAAATAAATAAATTTTAAAATTTAAAAGAGAGAGTATGTGACAGCTATGGGCTATTAACTGGTCAGTAACACAGACTGGCATATACTAATCGGGTCCTACGATTGATATTTCAAGGAAATTTCTAGCATAAATGCGTAACGCAACCAATTGGCCCTACTCATGAAAATCAGGAAATTTGTTCTAAACAAAGCTTACATGCTATATATTGTGTGTTTTTACAGAAAATATTATCATGAACAAATATTAGAGTTTATCTTTCAAGCATCTACTTACATTAAATATGATAAAGGTGGTAATGCATGTTACACCTAGCAGAATACCTGGCATATGTCTTCATTATTTCAATGTCTGGAAGTGATATAATATGTGTGTGTGTGTGCATAATACAAAACACTAAGGTTTATAAAATTCATAATCTTTTTAAAAACATTTTTACATTATTTTTAAGACTTATTTATTTTTATTACAAAGTCAGATATACAGAGAGGAGGAGAGACAGAAGGAAGATCTTCCCTCTGATGATTCACTCCCCAAGTGAGCGCAATGGCCGGTGCTGCGCTAACCCGAAGCCAGGAACCAGAACCTCTTCTGGGTCTCCCATGCTGGGTGCAGGGTCTCAAGGTTTTGGGCCATCCTCGACTGCTTTCCCAGGCCACAAGTAGGGAGCTGGATGGGAAGTGGAGCTGCCGGGATTAGAACCAGCGCCCACATGGGATTCTGGCACATTCAAGGTGAGGACTTTAGCCGCTAGGCCATGGCACCGGGCCTGTAAAATTCATAATTTAATTGAAAAGATGTGTGAACCTGAGCTTAAATATATCCATATAATCCATATAGAAATTGTAGTAATTTAGTTGTTATACAATGACACATTATTTTAAAAAGTTGGTGGGGTTTCTTTTGTTTGTTTGT